CCAAGATATTTGGGTGTTGGTTTTGGGTATTTAACAAAAATCAAATCGTTACTTTGAATTTATTTATTAGTACCACATAAATTTCCTGGTTGTTAATATTTATAAGTTTGTTGACCCTATTACAATTACTTGTTTCAGAAATTTTTCAAATCTACCGAGATGTTTGCCAATGTTAATCATTGTAGAATTTTCTGAATTGGAGTTAGGTTGTGGGCTGGGCAACTCTCGTGTCATTAGACAGATTCGATCTTTTTCTATGCATTGTATGGTTTCAGTTGATACAATTGTAGTAAACCTTTATTATCACATAAAAAGGTTGTGGGAAACGGGATAAACGTTAGCATTGCTCGTTTGAATTAAGATTTGTTTGACTAAGAAAAAGATAAGGGTTTACGATTGTTCTGTCATTGATACAGTAAAAGTCCTCTAGAGAGGACACCATTGGGAAATGACCAAACTGTCCTCTCCTCTTAACTGTCCTCTCCTCAAGACTCAAAATCAAAATCTTTTTTGATTTACTACATAAAAAATTAAAATAAAACAACACGTTTTTAATATTGTTATGGAAGAAAATCATTCATAGTTGTCTGTTTGCCAAAACATTTTGTTTTTAACAATTCAATTTCTAAAATGTTTTCAATGTTCTCAGAAAATTGTAACAATTCTCTATTGCCCATATGTATCGAATAGGAAGTTAGCTTCCTGGCACATTGTAATGCCATCTTTGTTGAAACTTCTTGGACTGGAGCCTCTTCTAACCTTCACCATTGGTCCACTAACTGGCAGATTCTTTGACCGAGCTTCAGAAAACCATTCAAACAATTTAAAATTGATCTCTTCAAAATCCGTTTTTTGTCTTTTCAACGCTTTATTTTCACTCGGCACTCCCGCTTCCCACTGCCTTTTTACAGATTCTATATTTTCACGAATATTTGCAATTTGAGTTTTTCCGCAACCAAATTCTTCAGCAATTTTTCGTATGCTAACTCCATCATTTAATTTTTTCACCACCAGCATTTTTTCTTCCAAGTTTAAAAATTTTTTTCACAGAGTCGACTCCATTATTACACAACAGTTTATCAAAACGACCGCGATAAAAAATCAAAGAGCGAAAATAATTTTTTTTAAATAACCAAAGATTACCAAGGTTTCTTTAGCGCATTCCATAGAATAGAATAAATACAAATATTCAAATTAGATGGCGCATTTTATCAAATATTCCATGTGTTTTTGTTATAAATTGTCCGCTCTTTAAGACATAAAAGTCAATTTGTACTTAAAACCCTGTCCATAGTTCGTTCCTTTAAAATGTCCGTTCTTTAAGGTCTATTTAACATGCAAAACGGTTCCGTGCCAAGCAATACTGTCCGTTACTCTTATCTGTCCGTTCTTTAGGGTCCCGCTCTAGAGGACTTTTACTGTATAACATTTTCATAACTCGTATCAATATCAACATTTGTAATATGGCAGCAATTTCTGAAAAATAAAATCTTCAAGATGTTTTAAAGTAATACAAAAACCAACAAATTTTTCATTTTTACCATATTTCACTTATTTATTTGAACTATCTTCTTTTTAGACTGTTTTTCGCATAAAATAATGATAAAAGTAACCTAATTAGTTATTACTTCAACCATTTAAGAAAATACAAATATTTTAATAAAAGAATGATTTGTATTTGGTAGGTGACTAAAAATGCTACTAAACCTTTGCCTGAAATTTTCCGATAAAAGTGCCAAGAATAAAAAAATACGTACAGTTCGTTTTACCTGTAAATGATTTGTTGACGATAAATTAGTCTTGTGTTCAATAAATTTAAAATCCTGAGCATATTAATAAAATTCTCTGTAAGCGTACTTCAATTATCTTAGT